CGGGGACCTCGGGGCTCCTCGCGTCCGGGTCTGCGGTGTCTGGTGCGGTTATGGTCCGTCTGTCTCGTTGTAGGTCTGTCCTCGCAGCTTCCCGTGCAGCATCTCTTGGATGGCTACCAGTGCGGCCACGAAGATGACCACCTGTCTTACGGGGAAACGGGAATGCCGGTCCCTCCTTTCGGCTGCACCTTCTCTGCAGGTAAAGCCACCTTCAGAAAGGCCCTTTTAGGGGTCAAGGTGCGGGCACCGTTGTCAGCTTTTTTATTTTAATGTGTCTCGTGATTTGGTTTCAGAGTTTCTTGTTTTAAAGCGAGCTGGTAATAGTGTACTTGCACCTAGATGTGATATAAACTGGGTAATTGGATGATAAATACATGATGAGTGAAGTAAGCATGGAAGCTCCTGGATCTTTAGGGCAAAACTCTTTCATTTCTAGTAGTCTAGTTTTGGTGTGAGCTCATACGTTTCTCCAAGGCAGCTTCCTGCTTTTCCAGCTCGGATCCATATAAAGTATTGGAGGTTGCAGAGGGTAGGTAGTATAGGTACAGAAAACTGTAACTGGAGACCTATTACAGCTGGTGAAAGAGGCCATTATCTCAAAAGTTGCTCCTGAAGCCATTTGATTGCCCATGTACAGTAATTTCTGAATGGAACATCTAGAAAAAATGCTTGCCAATATTTCTGCTTTTTGAACATTCAAATTGCTATGCAAATACTGTTTATTTCACAGCTATCTGTTTGCTGTGTACCCTATTTAAAGCGTCTGTGACCCTTCACAAAAGAGCTGGGGCATGATTATGAATCAGCTACGTAACACACAAATACGTTTCAATTTCTTTTCAGCCCCAAATTTGGAGCATGTACTGGCAGTTGCAAATGAAGATGGATTTGTTAGACTGTATGATACTGAAGCTCAAACTACCAGCAAACTCATCTTTAAGGGTAAATATTATATAGAACCTGATCTTCATTTGATATGACAACTATGTGATTTACTGGAATCAAAGAAAGCTTTTTGCAAGTCATTTAAACACAAAAGTGGGCAGTACTTAAATCCTTTCATATACTTCGCTGCGTCTTTTTTACAAAGCAGCAGCGTGAGGGTGCTCTTAGAACAGCAGTAGGTGAATTGTTCTGTGTTGTCTTTCATGCCTAAGGCAAGCTGTTGACAGGTTTTCTGATTTCAGCGTCTGATGTTCTTTACTCTTCTGCAAAATATCATGCTGCAATGCACTGAACTAATCCTGGCTTTGTTTTCTTGTTAGAATGGCAGGCTCACTCCAATGCTGTATTTGACCTTGCCTGGGTACCAGGGGAACACAGGATTGTAAGCAATCTTTTGCCATCTAACTTTATTTTTAATGCTTTGGCAACTGTGTGCAGAACATGACTAAAGCTCTTTATTTTCTCCTCTGAAGGTCACTGCTTCAGGAGATCAGACAGCCAAGGTGTGGGATGTGAGAGCCGGGGAGCTTCTTGGCATCTGCAAAGGTCACCAGTGTAGCCTCAAGTCAGTTGCTTTTTCTAGATTTGAGAAAGGTAAATGTTGATATTCCCTGTTGTCTGGTTTTTCCTTCTTCTTTCCCCCTGGCACATTTGTAGTTTGGGGGCTAAAAAAGGGCTTTGGAAACTGACAGTTGCAAATAGCAAAGGCAGACTGAGCAGTGACCTAGCCAGTGAAGCAAAACTAACTTGTTGGAACTTCACGGTGACCTGATGCTAATGTCTGCACATTTCTGATCTTGGGCAAGTTTGACATCATTCAGTCTTTACTTCCATACATAAGTGTGTAAATACTCTTTTCATTAGCTGTTTTCTCTAGAGTAGTAGTAAAGAAAAACTAGGAAGCGTAAGGAAACTAGTCAAAAAGCATGGCAGAACACTGGCCTGATTTTTGTATTTCTAGGACTGGCATCCCAAGTGTTGGGGCAGAAGAGCCAGAGGCACATATTTGGATGGCATTGTACTGCTTTCAGTTAATTAACACTTTTGGAAGCTAACAGCACTCTCTTCCTCTCTCTCAGCGGTCTTCTGTACTGGAGGCAGAGATGGAAACATCATGGTTTGGGATACCAGATGCAATAAGAAAGGTAACTGAACTTTCAGATATGTATCAGAAAAGCTCAATATCTCACATAAAAACAGTACTTAGATGTACATGTTGGACTAATGCTTTCAATTACAATAATAGGCAACACTTCAGTAAGAAGATTGTCAGATAACAGTGGATGGCTTTAGTACAGTAAAAGGGTAGAATAGGTATTTCTTCTGTGTCTAGTATGTTTTTCCACTTTGTAACAGTCTCAGATTTGCAGCACAATATACATGCTGTCCTGATAATGCCCTGTGTATTGGTAAGGAGATAAAGGGGTACAGAATACATCCTCATGTGGGACAGCATGGAGATAGATGGGCTGGGTGAGAGCACTTAAGTCAGGGATCAAGCAAAGCTGGGCAGACTCCTGCCAGAGTAGGAAGCAAGGCAGAAAGTGCAGAAGTGAAGGAGCTTGCGAGTGCTGGGAGCAACTGAATGTATTGTGGGAACACCTACTAAATGCAGGGTGAGCTCATTCTGTTCTTCTCTTTCTGTTTCCTGGAGTTTTTTCTTTCCCCAGTCAGGTCATGCCTTTATGCCTCCTCCTAGTCCCTTGCTCTGTCCCAGCAGTTTCCTGGCCTGCGCTGCCAGAACATGTCTCGCTCTTCCATCTGTCGTAGGTTCCCTGGCTCTTCAAACTGGCAAGTGGGGGAAAAGGGAGGCTCCACATGAAGTGGGAGGTATAGGAAAAGTAGAAAAGTTGCATTGCTCTAGTAAAGCAACTAACTCATAAAGTGAGAAGTAGCAAACAAAAGGCTAATAGAGAATTATGAAGTAGAGTGGAAAAGCACTGGAAAGCTACCTTTGACTATAGTTCTGCTCACGATGAAATGGGTTGAACACTCCAGATGATTACGCATGCTGAAGACCAGACCAAGGGGTAATGATTTCCAAAGGCAGCCTGCCTAGGCCAGTTCTAGCTTCACTGTCCACGCTACATTGACCTCTGCATTTTTTTGCAATATATGCTCCTGTTTTCTACTGTGTTCTCATTGGTTTCGTATGTTACTAACACTTTTTGTTTTCAGAATACATTAATGATTTTAAAGGTTAGTCTCAGCCACTTTTTAGGATCTTTTCCAAGCTGCTGCCTGTTTTATTAAAATGATGTCAAAATTGCATCGAAACTATTAATTGAGATGTCTTTGATTTTTTTTTCAGATGGATTTTATAGGCAGGTGAATCAAATCAGTGGAGCACACAATGTGGTTGACAAGCAAACTCCTTCCAAACCGAAGAAGAAAAGACAGAACTTAAGAGGACTTGCTCCCCTGGTGGTAGGTATCTGGGGAACAAATGAAATGTAGGCCTGTCTTCTGAGGACAATGTTATTCATAGAAGTCTTCCTAAGTAATTATCGTGAGAAATATTTGGCTTCAATGTGGTAAATGCTTCCATTTATCTTTGCAGAGGTAGGTTTTTGTGTCACAGTTACTTGCTATGGCTAATTTTAGACATTGTTTAGTTGTCTAACAACCCATGCGTCATCAAAGCCATCTTTGTACAAATGCCATGTGAAAATACATCTTTTTTTTTTCCAGAGAGGAAAGGAGTAGTCCAGCATTCCTTTTTTGAGGGGGGAGATAGGGAGGGTTGTAATTTATTTTTTTTTTCCTAATTTGACGACACAAATGGCTGCTTTGTTGGAGTGAGACTTGGTCTTATTTAATCGATTAAACCTTGCGATGAAGGCAGCTCTCTTATCTCTGACCTGAAAGGTATAACCTCAAACTGCTGCCCAAACACTTACTGCTCAGTGGTAATTTCACTGGTGGGAGTGTTCGAAGGATTGTTGTGTTCTAAATGGCACCTGGTATTTCCAGGTTCTCCTGCCTGGCTAGGGGGAGGTTTCCTTGGTATTCACTTGGCCTTGGACTAAGCAGCAAGATCTTGCCGACCTTGAAAGAAAATAAAGTTGTGGGATTTTTCTTTTTTTTTTTTTTTTTTTTCTTTTTTCCTTTAAGGATTTCCAGCAGAGTGTAACTGCGGTGCTGCTTCAGGACGAGCATACTCTTATCTCTGCAGGAGCTGTTGATGGGTAAGGAGGGAGGACGCCTGCTTTTCTGTCTATTCTGCATGTTCTTCTTAGTGGCACAAAAAGATTGGGCAACTTTTTTCCTAAGATCACACAGTGGCCCACAAAGCTACAGTTGCTATTAGGTAGAATCAGCAGAGCTATGCTGCCAGCTTGCTTTGGCAAAGCTGAATGCTGCTTTTCTTCCTTACTGGAGATGGCAGTGCTGGGACAAATTGTGTGTATGCAGTAAGTGCTCATTTTAGTGTCTCAGCTATGGGGTGGAACGAGAGCAGTTCTTATCATTGCTCTCTATTCTCATGGACCTATCGGACCTCAAGTAAACAGACTATTGTTAGACAGTGAGCTGTTTTGGGATGCAAGTGGGCGGTTGGTGCCTGGATATGTGTAGGCATGCTTGAGAAAATGTTGCCTTGAGTTACAAAGGATGCATTCTTTTAGGTGCCAGATCTCTTGCAGCATCTTGGAGCTCAAGCAAACTGTCTCATTGATTAGCATGGCGATTACCCTCTCTCTCGTAGGTCGATTCTTTAGCAGGCTCCATGTGGTCAGAGCCTTTCTGACGCAGATAAGATTAACTCTCCTGCCTGTGGCTCGTGAGAGAGGCTTGCTCTTGGAGAGCAAGAAAAGTGTTGAAGGACTTAATTTTTATAACTACAAGTCAGGAGTATAAAGGCATCCTTGTATTTCCTTTCACTAGTTGAAGAAAGTTGACTTGTGGGCTCATGTTGTATCTTGTGTTAGTTACAGAAGACAATGCTGCTTCCTCATCCATAACCAGCAGAGCAATTGTTTTGCTTTCAGCATGTCTCTGCTCTACTCTTGCTCAGTTGTGCTTCTTAGCACTGGACACTCCTCGGTAATGAGCGACCTGTATTCCTATGCTCTTAGAAGGCCCTATCAGCATTGCAAAAGAAATTCTGAAATTGAAGACCCTTGTGCTTTTCTATTTCAGTGTGATCAAAGTATGGGACTTGCGGAAGAACTATGCAGCCTACCGTCAGGACCCGGTGCCTTTCAAGTCTTTTTGCTACCCTGGGACCAGTACTCGCAAACTTGGTAAGTTCTTGGAGGATGTACTTGTTAAAGTTCAAAGTGAATTTAAGATGTACTGACAGTGCAATCTCTTGTCTTTTTAACTGATGATTGATCAGACTGACAAGCTCAGTAGGGTACTTTGAATGCCAATACCAAATTTTCAAGTTGAAGAGTGAAAGTGCCCTGCCTTTCTATCATTGCACCAATGATAAAAACTTGCATGAGCTTCAGCAGTGCATTTTCACAAACAGAGATGAGGGAATAATAGAGCTCTTGAGGTAGAATTTAGCTAGTCGTTTTGATGCATGAGTAGAAATCACATTGAACTCTTTCTTTGCATTGTATTTGCAAAGGCAACAGACCGGACTGGGGTTTTACATTATAACCTTCCAGAGTTGAGCATTACTTGAAGCTGTTTGTTATCAAAAAACAATAGCACCCTTGTTCATGTTGCTCTGTGCTTCTTTGTATTTTAATGCCTTACAATGCTCTGATGCAACACAGTAATTCCTGATGACTTGTCTAATCAACTGTCTTGACATGGTAATGGTCAATATCAGTCCCAAGAACACCAGGGAAATCCTCAAGGAGCTGGTTGCGAAATAATTTGCTTGCAGGGAAAGATTTTTCTTGAACCGAAATCACTAACAAATCAGAGGATGGCTTATTCTACCAAAGCATGACAGTTTCCATTTATTTTTAATCTCTACTTCTACAATTGTTTGTTCCTGTTACCCATTTGAAACTATTAAATAAATTGCTTGCCTGCTCTGAAGGTGAGATTCCTCTGTAAATATCACCCTGAATCCTCACGAGATGTAGATGTTATTCTAGAAACTTTCCATCTCCAGCAAGTGCTCTGCCAAACAAATAAACTTTCCAATGACAATCTCATACGTGATAGAGATCCTTTCCAAATTTCCCTCTCTTGGCATTTCTTTGAGAATGCCTGTTTTCCAAAATGTTTTTTGTGGAGTTACTTCTCATGAAGAACTTCTCTCTTTGTCTACAGGATATTCTAGCCTAGTTTTGGATTCCACTGGTGCTAATCTGTTTGCTAACTGCACTGATGACAGTATCTACATGTTCAATATGACGAGTTTAAGGACCATTCCAGGTAAGCATGATATCTGTGGAAGTAGCTGCAAAAAATAGGTGTTACAGAGCATAGAAAGGTGAGTGTCTCCCTGTGACTTACAGAGAACCGCTTGAATGCTTAGGAAATCTATTCCATGCTCTTATGTCTACAGCTACCCGGGAGAGAAGGCACCTGTTACAAGGGCTGTTCATATTTTGTGTTAAGCCATCCACATAAAATTAATAGCACAAAAACTTACCTAAGTGCAGGTACTGGTTGACCCAGACTAAGACAACTACAAAGACTACTACAAAGGTAATTTGCGTGTTACCCCGTGAGGAATGGCTAGTGTCCAGCTGCTACCCACGTGAAGCAAGTTTGAATCTTCTGCTTACTGGCAATCACTGATTTTTCAACTTCTTAGATATGAATCCACATAAAATGGCCGTATTCAGGTATTTTACGGTGTCCTTTAAATTTAGCTTCTACCGCAGTTTCTGGTAGAAAGCATCCCCAGCATATTGTGGAGATGCTTCAGCTTTTTAGATTCCTTCAGCTCTGCATCTGTGACCTTTACGTTGACAAGACGGCCCACAGATTTCGGTGCACTAAGCCGCTTTGTCATAGGCCAGCGGCCGCTTCTCAGAAAGCGGCGAAACTTGTTAGATGCATTCCAGCCAGACACATGATTTAAGTTTCCATTGCCTTTTCTCAGTCTCTCAGTTAATTGAAATTAAATGAACAAAGTGTCCTTCTGTCTGCTCTTCAGGAAGGCAGTCTGGTGGGTGGGATTGCTTCCAAAGTTGAGAAGTGGTGCAAGTAGTAAGTATTAATAAGTCTGTTGTTGAGGTTTAACCCTGGGTGCCACTGCTGAGCTGTGGAAATAGGCTCCCTGGCCTGTCCCTCCGCAGGAGCGGGCTCTCTCTAAAGTACAGGGCATCCCACCCTCAGCCTCCTCATGGAGCTCTTGCCTTCTGTGTGCGGCTGATAAAACCCAGCGAGCAATCTCGATTCATCCAGCTGGATGAAACACGTGGCGGCTTCTCTCGGTGTGCTGCTGTTCCCGCAGAGGGCAGCGCCTGCCCGCGGGTTGGTGCCTTCATCCCGATCACGGCTGTGCTTATCTGGTATGTAGGCAGCTTTAAGGTTGCGGGGTGGGGGGCTTGGGATGTGAGGAAATCCTCTCTGTAACAGGACTCGCGGGTAGGTCTGGCTTAGGAAAGGACTCGCTGTCCTGTAACCGCTGCGCTGGGAGAGCTGTGGGTGAAAAACAAGGGATCTTTTGGGGTCTCGCAACTTTTCAAAGGCCGCCAAAGGCAGTCACCTGTCCTCTGGTCTGTGGGTCGCCTCCTTTGCCAAAAACACTATTAAAACAGGGTTGGCCAGGGGGTGCCAGCCCCACCTGGGACTACAGTGGGAAACTCACCCCTTCTGCCCCAATGAGAGGACGGGACAGTGCAGCCGAGTGCTCTAGGTGCACATTCAGCTCCTGTGCCGGCTGCCAGCTCCTATGGTCCTCACAATAGGGGAAATGGCAGCCATTTGGGGTCAACCAGCGGCTGACACAATGCAAGTTTTGTTGACAAAATAAAGATGCTGGCAGCAGGAAGAAGGAGCAGCAAGCACCTTTGTTGCCACCTGGGTGGGAGAAAGCCCTCCTTATGCTTTCTCCACGACTGCCCCTCTTAATGTAGCAGGGCCGGTGGTGGCGGCTGAGAGAGGAAGAGACAAGGAGTAATGGGGCAGCCCGGGGAATGTCTCGGCCTGCTCGTGACATGGGGTGAAGCTAAAGCTTGAACGAAACTGGCACTGCTTCCTAATGCTGTGGAGAGAGCTGTTCAGGTAAACCTGCTTCGTTCAGGAAGCCTGAGGGGCTTCAGTTGAATTATATAGACTTCCTGCCCCAGAAGCTCCCCCTGAGCAAGGGAGCGGTGTAACCTCTTTCTCCAGAGGATATGTGGCTAGGCAGGAAAAGCCTGTAAGATCAGCCCTGCTTGCGCAACTGACTCCACAGCTGTGCATTGAGTGGGGCTTTTATTTTCTTTTTTTTCCTTTTCTCCTCACAGTGGCAGTTTTCAGCGGGCACCAGAATTCAACCTTTTACATCAAATCCAGCACAAGCCCAGACGACCAGTTCCTGGTCAGCGGCTCGAGTGACTGCAACGCATACATCTGGAAGGTGAGGCAATTGGGAGAGACCCAAGCATGCAACCTGGAGCTGCTCCACTCTCATTTCATTTGCTTTTCATGTTCACATAGGACACTCCCTGCCTCCCACTCCTACTTACAGCAGCGTGGGGTTAGCTCCTGGCACGTTGTGCCCGGAGTGTGTTGCTGTCAAGGCTATATGTAACTGTTTAATGTAAAACAGAGCTAACCTCCTGCCATCAATATGTCTCTCATCACTGCTGTTTATTGCAAGTTGCTGATCTTAATCTGGTGTTAATGGGCATTAAAATCCTCTTTCAATCCTGGTGATTCAGCCAGCTATGACAAGTAGACCGACAGTTCTCAGTTCATATTTAGCCATGGAGCACGTTAACAGAAACCTAACAATTTAATTGCTTTAAAGGGCACTCTTTTCCCCACTTCCCCTTTTTTCCAGCTCTTGCTTCAGACATAGTTGTTTCTCGTGCTTAATTTACAGTAGCTAGAGCCTTTGTATTACAGCAAGGGCTCAGCCAGAGTCTTCAGCAAACTTCCAAAGTGCCATCTGACAGCCGAGAGACTTCCTCACTTGGCAAATGCAAATGTCACCAAGTTAATAGCAGGGACCTCAGAACAAGGCGTCCTTCAAGTTCTGCTCTCCATACTTGACAGCCATATGGCAACCGAGTGGACTTCTTATCTGGAAGTAGAATAGACAGAAACCACAGGTGACTGCTTATTTCAGGTTTGGGGTAATTTTTAAGGAATGCTGACTTGTTTACTCCTTTCACAATGAGTTTGAAAGTAAAATACAAAATTTTGAGATCAGAGGACCAGCCTGCTGTGGTGGTGGTTTGAGCACGTATTCTCTTTGATTTGGAGAACACTTGTAAGCAGCTAGGTTGCTTACTCAGAAGTAGCAGGAGTGCAGTAGCATGGCTACTCCCATGCCAAGTTGTGTCATTTTAACCTTCCTCATGTTCCGTGCGAGTTCAGCAAAAATACCTGTGCAAACTTGGCTTGTGCATCCTGTGTTCATGTTTTTTGATACTTTCTTGGAACACAGGCTGGGACGGGGTCGAGAGCATTCAAGGATGTCATTACATCTCAAAGTTGAAGCATTGAAGCACATTTAAAATGCATTCATGTACAGAAGGCTTCTGTTGCTATCACATGTGGGTGACAGATTGCATTGCATAAGTAATCCCATAGTCATGTTAGAAAGTGGGACTTGCAGCAAAACTGTCTTTTTCGAGATCTGTCATATCCAGAGGCTTCTTAATTTGTTTTAAATGTTGGCAGATTTCACAGACTCTGAAACATATGTATCTTTTCCTGGGAAGAGGATTTATTATGCTGTGAAAAAAACATGGTTAGATATTGCAGAGGCAATTAACAGGTGACATTGGAAATAACTTAATGAAGAGTGCTAGCTTTCCATGTCTAGAGAGGAACGAAAGGCAGAGCAAGACCTTGTCCACCCAGATTATTTCTTTGAGAAGCTTTTGCAGCAATGCTAAGTTGTGTCTGGGTCAGCAATTCCCAAAGAATACTGAGGCTAGAAGTTGTGGCTTATGAGGACGCTGTTTCAGTCTGTTTCCATATATAAGTCACTTCCAGGCAATGAACGCTCACTTTATTGTGTTGGTGGTTTTTTTAATTACTAGTTCGTTGATTAATGAACTGACTCTTGAACAGCCCTAAGATTATAAAAGCCAGAGAGCAGAGAGGTTTGTCTCTACAAAGATGATACCTAGCTGAGCTGCCTTCCAGGTAATAAAAAAGTATCTTTTATAGACATATACTTCCATAGTTCCATTGTCCTTTGAATCCTCTGGTACAGACCAGTCTGAGGTGACCATATTAAGTTACCCTTTGCTCTGTCCCAGCATTGGAATTTAAGCACTTCTTTATCATATGGTGCATAAAACTATAGACACCATTTTATAGTGAATCTTGATGATGGATACAACAGCTGTTTCAGTGAGTAGAGCAACTAATAAAGTCGCATTTCCTAGGTTTCTCTTTTTAACCTTTCCACAATAGCTCTAACTTCCCCACCAATATCCTGTCAAGTCAGGCAAAAAGCAGCATGTGCTGTGGCTAATCCTGACTTAACGTGTGCAGACTGGCCAACCGTCTTCTGCCAAACACAGTGGACACAGCTATAACTATGCATCCTCCTTTAGTTCACAGTAATATAAGTTGGTTTAATTTACACTAGTATGGTGTAAAACGAGCGTGTCCCAGCAAGAATAATTCTCTTCCTCTGCTTTCCTTTCAGCAATCAGTGGCTACTAGACCACTATTGTGTCTCTCATGTGCGTATAGCAAGACTGCTATTAAATGTAAACGAAGGTGTTCTCTGCACTGAGATGTCCTGTTGTTTATTCCCTAAATAGGGATTAGGTTCCATGGTATTGCATGTTTTGGCAGAGAAGGGAATACTCTGACCAAGCATTTAATGGATATTTAGTTGAGTGATTGCCTCTGCTATGCCAGGAAAAAAAAAAGCAACCTGTTAAGATGAACCTGTTTGCATCAGAATTTAAGATCCGAAGCTGGATATTCAATTGCAGTTTTGCAGGCTGTTTTAGGAGGTGATCCACAAGAGAAAAACTTGTGTGTAAATCAGAAGCCTTCCCCAGTGTCTTGCATCTTCCTTTGAAATCTGTATGTAATGTCTACTCCTTTGCCCACACACTAAAGGATCTGTTCATTCACTTAGTCATTTATGCAAATCCCCTTGATAAATCCCCCTTATAATGTCACATCAATAATGGTGACTCATAGCTCCAGAAAAGATTGCCTGCTGAAAGCATGCAAAACTTGGATATAATCTCTGTGTGTGTGTGTATGCATGTGTGTTTTCTTCCTTGGGCCACTTAATGCTAGCGTCAGCTGTATCTGTCATTTACATGAGCTGTAATCAAAGATTAATAGTAATCCTGTAGAACAGGAGAAAGATTTTTATGAAGGATGTAAGAGACACGGAGATCAGTTTAATGAGCATAAGTGATTTAGGGAGCTTTTTTATGAACTCTTAAGAGGGTCTCTGGTCCAGCTGGTTGGTTGAAGGAGGTACAGGCTCTTGGCAGTCAGTCGCACAAATATATCGTTCATCTATAGGATTTTGTTGCTGGTGGCTTTATTTTTTTAATAAACCATTGACATGTGATTGGGACATTTGTAAAATGGCAGCAGAATATATTTGCCTATCCTGATTCAAAGTATGAGCTTCCCAACAGCTTTTAAACATCTTACCTAGAACAGGTAGAGGTACTTAATATAGTAAAATGCTTGTGTTTTGGGCTGACAGCTCTGGAGGCAGAAATCCTGTGTGTAGCAAGAACTGAACAAGTGTTTCCTGGCAAGTCAGTACATCTCAGTGTGATCAGTCTGTGATCAGTCTGTGATCTCAGTGCTGACCAGCTGCTTCGCATCTAGAAATGAAACATGAACTGATTCTTAGGGCTCCATCAGAAGTTGCCTTATAATGACAGGCTGAGAGCGTTTGATTTATTCATCTCATAAAGGAAAGATGGAAACTATTCACATGCTTCACAGGTGGGCTGTGGGGGGCTTTTCTTAGTGATGTATATTAGGCTGTGGGGCTTCTGATTGTATACTTGTTTTTCTATCGAATTTTTAAGGTTTCTGAGCCCAGCCTTCCTCCACGGATACTCCTTGGTCACTCTCAAGAAGTCACCTCCATTGCTTGGTGTCCTTCAGACTTCACTAAGGTTTGTTTTCTGGAAAATTGTCTTTCCTGTGAAACAATAGATGTGATGTGGCAAAATCTGCTTTTCAAAATTGCAGCAGTGTTTGTTTATTTGGGAGGAAATTTTTAGTCAATAATTTCTAAAAATGTTCATTTAGAGGGGCAGTAAACCAAGCTTGTCACATGAGTATAATGTATCAGAACTTCTTCATTATTTTCAAATAAATAGGCTGTTTGATAAGACCTAGGAAATTGCAGATGAACAAAGACTTCTCCTGATGAGACCTTGCGATACCACCTGTAAGAGACAAAACTGTGCAACCATTTAATCAGGGCTTTCATAAGCCAAAAGCTTGTTTTGTGGTTCCATACTTACAGCTTCCTTTCCTGTCTGACCATTGATACATCTGCTAGTCTTGTACAGAGCGGCAAGAAGTTTTGAATGCCCTTTAAAAAACATGTAGACTCTTTTTGTTGTGACCTTTTTTCAAAATCTGAGCTGTTTTTATGAAATATTTGTGTGTACACACAAAAACCTACAGTGAAATTGTGTCAGTAATTATGCACCAGGTATCACTAAAAGGAAGAGAACTGTACTAGGAGGTTGGCTCAAATGATTGGCCGAGCTCAAAATGAGAAATAACCCTGAAAAATCCTAGACAGTGTCCTAATAATAGCCAGACTTTCTTTCACCCCTTTCTTTCAGTATTAAGCCAGTCAGCCACTTTCCCTAGCTTGCACTATAGCACCGGGTCTTCAGAAAAGTGTTGCAGTGTAGGAAGGTAGGAGTCTTGCAAGCGAACAGGAGGAATTTTTCCAGTTGTGTAAGATGCACAAAAATATGAGAATTAGCATTTTAGATGAAATCTGTGATCTAGAGGTAGCCCACCATCCTGATCATGATGCATCAGAAATGCAGACCAATACAGCCTTGAAAATTGTTACTGACACAGGTAAGAAATAGTCAGCCATTGTACAGATGCTGAAGCATGAAGAAAAGTGGAAAATGTGGTGCTAAGACAGGTCAGGAAGCTGCTTGGAGTGATCTGAGAGGCAAAGTTGCCTTCTGTAGAGACAATATTGGTGTCACAGATGTCACAGTAGAGGCACTTTCCGATCCAGATTACTATGAACTTTGGCCACAGCATTTCATTTTTCTTGCTGCTGATTCCCATGTGAGTCACCAGCTAATCTGTCCGAAGAGAGCCATAAAATGTGGCCTAGGTGGGTTCTGCTGCTTCTTCAGATGAGATTCCACAGATCCTTTTGGAGTGTGTGATGCTGCAGCAGGCATCTAGAACAATGTTTCTAGCAGAGTTGGTTTCTCTGCCAGATACGGCTGACATCTGACTGAAGAGATAGCGCTTAAGGCTAGTGCAACAGCCTTCCAATGTCACCTTCTCAGTGTGTTGCAAATGTTCGTTCCCAAGCAGAAAAGGTCCTGAGTAACAGAGACAGACCTAGATGTAGGTGCAAAAAGCAGCATGGCCGTTTTTGTCTAGCGAGTGATTGAGATCTCAAAATATGCCCTGGCCCTTCCTGAGCAGACTGCCGTCTGTTACAGAGCTCTGCAAGGCAAACGGTTACTGGTGACTGAGATTTCTCTAGCGGAAAGACATGAAGGCGGCAGCCTTGCGTGCTTTAAAGTAAATAGTGCTGTCTGGCACAGTAATGAAACGGAGTTGGGTTGTTTTGTTTGTTTTACCATCAAATCTTGTACCCTCTCAGCCAGGCTTCACCCCATTCATATTGGCATGGGGTGTCAGGTGTAGATGTTCTAGTTCACTTGGCCAGTGATCCACAGGATGTGCCCTGGTTACTCCAACAAGCTAATTTATACTGTAGATTGCCACGTGCTCTGATGACAACACTGTGAGGATTTGGCGCTTACGATGTCGGCCTGAGGAGGAGAAATCAGCATTCAGCAAAATCAGCTTGGTGGGCTGGGTCACTCAGAAGAAACCAGAACAACGTGGAGCAGGTAAGGCCCCTGAGCTGAGATATCTTGCTCTGCAACATGGCTTCTGAATTTTGGCTGTTCTCTGTACCAACAAAAGCCTTTGGCTTGTCTTATTAGTCTTCTATTTTTTTCATATTAGGCAATAATTCATATAGCCAGACAAACACTTCTACTTGTAAATATTTCTGCCACCAACAAGACAAGTTGGCTGAAATGCCTTACGAGTAGCTGAAGTCTGTATGACCAGACTGCAAAGCAAATATTCACTAATACACCTTCCTGGGCAGCCAGCTCTTCAGAGGGTATCAGCAGGGTTCAATAATTGAGCAACCAAAGGAGACGTCATGTGTGCATGCACTGTAGCAACAAGTCGCACTTTTTTAATATATCACATAATAACTGAGAGCAGTAAGATCATATGCTTTTTCCAGTTTGCTAGTTTACCCCGTAGAGGGCTGACAGCACATATACAGCCTATGAACTGGTTCCTGCTGTACAGTAGTTGAATTCTGCAGAGATTTCTTTGCTGCTGCTATCAATATTACCTCTCTTTCTTCAGCTTCATACAGTGGTACTGACTGTCTACACAGACAAATGTGACGTAGCAGAAGTATTTCAAAAATGCATGTAGACAATCATGATGTGATCATAATGTTCCAGAATTAATCAGTAGCACTCATCTATTCCCATGTTAAGGCTAGTTAACAAATGCAATACCTTTCTACAAAGCCTAGGGGACCAGACAAGCTATGCAGCATGCTGTCACAGCTAGCAAGCAGATCTGGGCTGTACAGAGAAGCTACTCACTGGGTAGTACCCTAGACCAGAAGAAAGGGGCCCTGGATCATTGCACTGTGTTGACTGGTGTTTTGTTGCAGTAGAGTAGGTAAAAGGAGAATAACCCCCCCAAAAAAGTGAAATAAGATGAGCTTCTCTGTAGAATAGCTCTGAAACTAAGATTACAATAGCTTCCCAGCAGCTGGTGATGTGACTTCCTGTGTTCCCCCTATCTTTTCTAGCCATCCTCCAAATGAATTTCACCTTGGCTAACACAAATAAAGGCTGAAGGTCTCCAAATCCCACTAATGGGATAACATTGCCTCTGACCTTTTGCCAGTGAGTAACAGTCTTGCAGGAAATTTGCAGGACAATAGCAAGGAGAGTGCCAGGTCTGCTCCGTAGCTGGTAAATGGTTTGTGTGCACACACTCTGCTTCAGAGAGGGCTCAAAAATCACGTTGCATACCAGTTTCAGCAAAAGAAAAGTAACCATAGGTCTAGTCCAGAAGCCTGAAACCTGAAGTAGATTGTACACTAAAACTTTACAATTCAACTTTGGCAATTATACTAGAAAAATAACTTCTTCTCGCTCTTGCTGCATTAAAGTAACAGGAGGGAAGAGGAAGTACACAGACACTGCAAACACAACAGCAGGCTTCCTGCTGACCTTGGCTCTTGAACACAAAGCACGTGCTGTTAGAATATAGGAGTTATCTGCAGAGACTGATTCAGAGCTGGCAAGCCAAGTCCTATTTCAGACCTGCTGGGATGAGATCTAGGTAGTTCCCCACCCATTTATGTGGAACAAATTGTGAGACTGAGGTTGCGTATTGACTGTTGACCTATACCGTCAAGTGTAGCAAGCACAGTTTCCTTTTCTTTGGAAATTATTTTTGTGATTTCCCCAAGTTGCGCTACCTTCTCTGTTTTTGTGTAACCAAATTTCTGGAGCAGGCCTGTGCATGGACTATTTGTGACTCTTAAATCTGGGGGTTGATAATATCACTAGAAGACATGTAGCAGAGAAGGTAGGAAGTATCTGAAATAACGTGCTTTGGTGTTATGCAGGTTGACTGCAGGTATTTACAGTATTGTACTACATGCAACGGCAGCATAAATGGAAACAGCTTGGAACTGGCTTAGAAGCCTGAATAATGCATGCAGTCTTAGAAAAAAGCCTGATCTTCGTCTTCTTTATCTCAAGTTTGGGAATGTTTCTCAATTTGGGTTTGCTTCTTGCAGTGACACTCATCCAACTCTCAGGATAGCTTTTTTTCCCTTATCCAGTGTCTCCACAGTAGAACTTTCAGACTGGTTTGGGATAGAGAGTGCTCATGCAATATTTCTGCTGTATGAATTTGGAGATGGTGATTAGGGATCAAGAGTTGCTGAGCTTGCTACTTCTCTTCTACCTCTAGGAGCTTAGATTTTTAAGTGCAATTAATTACCCAGCTGAGATATTATTGTCTTGTAAGTGCTCATTAAAGTAAAGATTAGGAGAACCAATATTGGCAGTTACTTTTTCTTAGTCCAGATTGAAGCAAGTTGTTATGAAGTAGCAGATTTTATCAGGAAAGGAGCCTTTAACTCTGTTTCGCGTGTTAGAGTGATTTGTAGTGGGATCCATTAATATGGGGTCCTATTTAATTTTGCTCTGATGCACCAGTACTCCTGTTTTGGATACTAGATAATACAGTAAAAGGAAGGATCGAACGAGGCTTAGTATGGTATATAATCAAACTGTCATGTAGGTGCTCACGCGACATGTTATTTGTAAGACAGCCCAACATCCTAAAGAAAATGGCAGGTTATTCACACTAGACTTCGCATTATTCTAATGAAGTGCTTTATAGTACGGTGCTAACACTGAGAATTAGGAGTTCAGATTAAACCCTTGGTATACAGAAGATGTTTAGAGCTCTTGTGCTCAGCAGTGGAAATGCATAGAGTAACTAAGGTGCTATCCTATTTAATTGCATCCCTGCAAGTTAGGTGAATGACAAAGCAGGCATCTAACAAACCTGCTAATGCATTCTCTGTGGGAGGGTGCCAGAAAGAAAATAATAATAAAAAAATCCCACCCTGTAATATTGCTGCAGACCAAAATCTTTGCTATATGTGATTCCCACTGTTACTGGTGAGGTCCTTATGCCCCTACCTATGACCACGGCTTCAAGAAGCTGGGTATTCAGAACCTCTTTCTAAAAACAGGAGGGTTTATGTCTTGGCTAGTGAGCTCAAAAGCCACTGTAAGATATCTGCTTGGGAATCATTTGTTTTAAAGAAATAACTTACTACAGTGACAGATTTTATTTTCTTTGGAATTTAAGTCCTTGTTCAGGAGGTGAAGAATTTCTCACTTTTCCCTGGTGTGGTAAATAACTACCGTCTTCATACTAATATAGCATCACAGAAAATCCTCCAGCAAAAAGACAAGAGAATGAAAGTTCCTGTTCTCACTCTTTTTTGTCATCTTTAAAATATGCAACTATTAATGCCTCACTAGCAGCATTATTCATATGGTAGGGCATTACAGCATAAGTTTTCCTTGGTATTGTAATTAGCTGTGGGACCTGCTTACAGTACTTTTGTCCCTCAACTTAGTTACGCACCCGTTAAAGATGGCAAAGTGCGGGTGGGGACCAGCATTGCTCTCAGGCACCATCTCAGTACAGAGCTGTCTAGATCAAGCCACTGCAAGGCTTCCAGCAAGGCTAGACAAACTTGGAAGGTTCAAGATCCGTTTTGTCTGTCTGTCAGTCCCTTGGCTGTAGCTCATTTGAGTGTGCTTGTGACAGAAGGGATAGATGTCAAGACATTGCACAAACGTACTGTATTATACTTATCAATATGATATAGGATTTTACATAGGACTTGTAACAGTTTAACTGAAATTAGAGGGATTTATGCAACCGCTTAATTGAAAAGGGTATGTCTAAGAAGCAGGGTCGGCACTGAATTCCTTTAGTTGGAAGGGTTGTTTACAAACGGGCTGTCTTTACTCTGCTGTTTCTGTGTTCCTCATCAGACTACTTATTTCTCCCCTATCAGGACTGCCATCCAGCCCACAGAATACTCCTGCCAAGGCCTTCACAGTGGGCAGCCCATGCATTTCCTCGCCACGGCCAGCTGCCTGTGCTCCCATTTATTCTGGAGACCTTCCGCTGTCTACAAACACTCCAACAGGCGCTCTCAAAACCCAGATGGCCGCAGCCTGCACCCCAGCCAAGCAGAGTGGAGCCAGCCCATGCACTTCTCCCAAACTGATCCCTTCCTCTAAAATGTCCATTAAACATTGGGTTACAAGGACTCCATGCTCTTCTCCTACAGAGGTGGGGAAAAAGGCTCCTTCTCCTAGAAAAGCCCTGGCAGAAGTCACCCAAGGTCTCCTGGAAGCTGCTTGTCCTCCTAAGGCCCCACACTCGCAGTTTGAAAAGCGTGCCAAGAGAAGGCTTGACTGCAGCAAGGAAGACAATGCGGGGCAGAAGTGTCTGCAGGCCTGTAGCTGCGTGACTGAACTGGACCATGCGGCTAAGAAATCCAAGCTGAATTTATGTCACTTGGCTGCAGACCAAAAAGCTTGTGATGAAGGCTCTCTCAGCCTGGCTGACTTGGATAACGACCATGAGGGCTCCAGCCGCAACCCAGAAGAACCTTCCTTTCCTGGAAGCCATATTAATCCATCAGGCATTCAAACTCCCCCCCATCTTTTCAGATCTCCGTGCAGGAAAGACACTGAGGTAGTAGATAAGGAGAATAGTTCACCTGAAAGAAAAAATTGGTTGTCTGCTCTGGGAGAGAAGCTCCGGACTGGCAGAGCTGGCAGCCAGAGCGCGTCAAACAGCCCCCCATCATCTTGCAGTCCCGGTGCCAAACGACAAGAGACTGTGGCAGCAGCCACTTCACCGAAAACTGTAAGTAGGACAGCTGGTGACAGTAAACATGAAAGAAGTCATCCCTAGCTGCCACTCTCCCCTTGTTTGTTCTCTCCTGCTCAGGCATTCAAAGAGTTATCTGATCCCTTTGATTATGGACAAAAGGGACGATTTCTGGCCCAATAAGCCAGCTACATTAATGCTGTTATCTACTAATCCCCTCCATGCAGGAAGAGAATTTTTAGGATGTTCATGTCCCTCACTTTAAAGGGACTTAGGGCACACAGGAGCTCAGAGATCCTCCCAGTCCCCAGTCAGGTGTTCGAAGGATGTAGCCATCATCTGAAATACAGCTCTACTCTGAGAAGCGCAATAATGACAGCACCTTTCCTGGCAGATATACTGTTTATGTGTTCACCGTCACATCTGCCTGTTTATGTTACTGCAAAGCCACCTTAGCATTGGAAGAAATAACTAAATTTTATTCTGGCCCAGGTAGCAAAAGAATTTGTTACCCATGTTAGAACTGTGGGGCTAAATAACACCTTCAGTTCCTTCAACTGAAAACTAGCAGAAAACAAAGGAATTGCAAAAGAGTCACAGGACAGGATTTGAACTACATAATCCTACTTTTGATGTACAAGAAGCCTGGCACAGAGCTCATCCTAGGATCTGAAAGTTAAGCTTATAAAGCAGCTAAAATAGTTGGCATGAGAGCATGACGGTTTAACGTGCAAACTGAGAAATGGTAATTATGTTCTTTTAAAACAAACCAAACTCTACTCATGTCTGACACTGGACTCTGAGTCCTATAGTGTTTGACTGAGTCTTACTTCAGTAAATGTTAGGTAAATTTTCATTCATCAAATTTTAGTTGTACTCTCAATTGAATATCTGATGCTAGAAGTTGTTGCTATCACTAAGGCTTATTTTGGTAAAGTATCTCATGTCTTACCTGATTTCACCTCTTCCAGCACTTCTATCAGCTGTGAAGTGGGCAAGCCACCACTCCTTAAGTTACACATAGCAGCTGCGTTCTTCATATTGTGATTGTACCAAGAAGTCTTGGTTATAGTACGCCTACATCTGCTTGTGCTTTATGCTGTACATGTTTAAACACAAGACAAAAAGATTTGCCCTGAAGAAAGATTACTATAGAACAATTGCGTTTCCTGCCCAGTATGCTCTAGTTCAGATTTCGAGATGCTCCTGTGTTGTACTCAAAGCCTGAGGAGGTGCCTGGAAAACCAGTAGCATTCGTTCATCTGCTACATCTTGGAAATCTGCAGCCCTCTTACCTGCTGTAGGGAAGCTGAACCTGCAGCCAGAGTGCTTTTGCTGTGGCAGTAAGACAACACTAGGTTTTAGCCAGTGTTTCCTGTAGGTAGGTAATCCTCTTATCTGTGAGACAAACAGATTATAGTAAAGAACCTTTCATTTACTATCTTATTTAGGAAGCTAAACAAACTGGAGCAATGATGGAGGGGCGACATTAAGACTCCTGCAGCATATGAACTGTTAAGCTAGAAACATTTCTTGTTGATTTTGATTTGTTTGGGGTTTTGTTTTTTTTTTTTCCCTAGGCTGCAACCACTTCAGTTTCCATGAGGAAGATCTGCACATACTTCCACAGAAAGCCACAGAATGACTGAGCAGCGTGCAGCGGTTGCATCTGATGGATGTTGACACTGTGGTATCAAGACCAGATTTAGCAATGCCGACAACGATGCGCCGGGATTACCCAGTTTGTTATCAGACACTCATAAACTTGGGGTTTTATTCTTCTGTTTTTAAAGCCGTTACCAGTTGAAGTCAGCTGTGTGTGGAAAAGCTACACAATACTTACTCGTGGCCTCTTACTGACTTGGGATGATGGATTATTTTATAAAGAAAAATGGAGTATTTTTCACATGGCAACTGTTATAGTCCAAAGACAGCAACAGCTCTGCTGTGCATTGACAGGCACATAGAGCTTGTCAGTTTATGTTACTAATCTGCCATTGAAACTTCCTCTACTTAAGAATAATGTGTAAATCATTACACCCTCCTGAAAAGCAAGTGTTGGAATGTGTGTAGAGAAACTTACTGGAGGTAGATCTGAGCCCCTAGTGCTGAATGGCATTTCTACAGTTATTCTTCTAATACCGCAATGACTACTTGCTTCCAGCAGGGAAGTTAGGAATGTGTTAAGTAAATGTAAAATAACCGATGGTGATTATAGTCTTAAGAAGAGCCAAATTATAACGAAGGATGTTATGCCTGTACTCCTCTTGCCATCCCCTTGCTTCTCCCAGTCTGAAAACTTCTGTATTTACCGACTTAGCTGGCTCTTGAGCCATCAGCACTACAGCTGTTGAGGCCAACAGCTTGTCACTTCTGTGAAATAAAATACTGGCAAGGTGCATTAGAAAAATTAGTTTGATCTATCCCAAATAGGTGTCCTGTAACAGCTGGTTGCTCGGTCACCTCTTACAGATTCAGCCTGTAGCAAAGGCATTAATAACTGCTTATAATATAACTTCATAATACTTTTATAATACAGTATCCATAAAATAATAGTTTGTAAATTGGGGCAGGGGCACTTGACATTTTAGAAAGCACTTGACAGAGTTTACATATTAATATTAAATGATTTGGCATTGTACGTCGTCACTGATGCTGAAAGAACAAGGTCACTGAAATGAGATCACTGTCCTACTGGCTAATGATGCTAACTCCTCAGTCACACTCTCCCCAGGGGGAGCTAGTAGAAGATCTGTATCTTAGGTTGGAGCATTTACTCTGTCTTCTGGTATAATAGTTCCCATGAACTTTAAAAAAAAAAAAAACAACAACCAAACCTCTGAACTATTAAGTTTTCCTACTGCAAAAGAATTGAGGTATTTAAAGGGGATGTGATCCAACTAACTCATGTTTTCCATCTGAAATTTTCACACCTACTTTACAGTAGCATTGAATAGTATGGTAGCTGAAAGGGATTAGAGGAAAACATGCTGGTTTGTATTTTATATTGTAGATTAGATTGTATTTTGCAAGGAAATAAATGACTTGAGAGAAACTGGCTTTTGTGAAAGGTCTCTTACAGCTACAAAGCAAAAGTAAATGTATAGTGTGCTTTATTAAAAAAAGAAAAATAGTCATCATCAAGCTGCATTTTTTAGCAAGAGCACTCAGGTACTTATAGGGGCCAGAACAACTTCCTCCTGTTTACTGAATTACAGGCCATCGTCCCATGAGCTCTGAGGAGATGCCATTAGGAAAGGGGGAAAGGTAATGTAGTGATTCATGCATTTTTTTCATAGTTCTTGTTTAAAAAAAAAGGATTTTAAAAAAGTGATTATCTGAATAGATATAGTATCTTGGGCAAAACAGGAATATAAAAAATCTCTTAGTTTAATTTTAACCTACTTCTGGATATTGAAGTAGATGGAAGTAGTAGAAATGTAATCTAAAATAAGTAGGTTTGGGATTGAATTCTGTCTTAATTTTAATTATTAAAGCAACTGTGTAGAGTACAACCTGCCTTGGCTACAGACAGTTTTTCATGCAGGATTCTTCCATGCAGTTTGTAAATAACAGGTTGTAGAATAAGGAGATGTGGGCCCTCCTGAAGTACATGAGAGTCGTCAGACATTTCAACGATAGGATTTCGTGTTCCTCCACTTCTTTCACAATCATTTCCTCCTCTAGGAATGTTCTGCAGCCAAACCGTTATCTCCTATATCTTGTAAATGGCTACCTAGAGATGATTTACACTAATGGGTTACCACTTGGATGAATAATATTACATGAGGATGTGAGATTTTCTCCTTTCAAATAGTATTGTGTAGTGGAACAACTTGTTTTATGGACAGCCAGGCATAACTTCTTTCATCTTAAGCTGACGTCAACCTGGTTCAGAGCCTACGAGAATTAACTGAAACTTATGTTCTTCTGTGTCCAGCTGTCTTGACCTTATTGTGATAAAATCATGATTGCAAAAGCATAGAAGAATTCCTGATACAAATTGTATGTCAAGTGGTTTAGGGTAACCAGTCCTGTCTTTACCTGAGACACTTTCTGAACTAGGCATTCAAAGAACTGAGCTCTTGTTTTGAGCCAGCAAGCCATACCTCTGAATTACCTTTCCTTCTAAAGGATTTACAGAAACTGTTTTATAATCAAATTAAGCTTTTTGAGATATTCTTCCCGAATCCTATGTATATGTGTAAATCCCACCTTATATATCTTGGAGGTTCGTCCATGCAGATGCTCCTGCTTCCTCATGTCTGTCCTCAGTGTTTACCCTCTAATTGCCACGTGGGATTTGGGAATGACCATGGCAGTTTATGATGGTAGTATTCCCAACAGTTGCTACTACTGCTTTGTTGGAAGTTTTGCCTCTCACTGCTCAGCTATGATTAGTCAACCAATTTAGTTTAACAGCAGTTTGCCAGTGGCTTGAGCTAACCTGGCTTGGCAAAACTGAAGAGGCACTCCCAGGATCTGTACAGATGCATGGTCAGCAAGCCTTGGCAAGCATTTCTTCTGGTAACAGCACTGACTTAAGAATCCCTCGGGGAAGCTAACTACAAAGAAAACCAAAAATTTAATTGCCTCAGTTCCCTGACTCAGCTATATAAGTGCTTGATTCCTTCACATTAAGGTGCCACAGTAGTAGCTCCACTCATATTAACACAAAGCTGATCTGTGTCTTTCCTTCTCCTCAAGGACTCGGCTTTATGATTTATTTCTCGTCTAAAGAAGACTGGCTGAATTGCTAGGTACAGTATCTTCTACCATCCACTTCTGTACCATGTCTGGATTTTTTATTTGGCTCATAAATTACCTAACTCCCTGGCTGCCTTGTAAGTGTGCTCTCACATCGCAGTGTGAAGATGGCAGAGGAGGAGGTGGACACACAAATCTAAGCAGCAAAGACTAAGCTGACCGAGTAGAGCCGATCATTCTTGCATCGACTTACCTACAAGTGTGACAAAATACCAGTATGCTCTTGTGTGGTTGGGGTTTTATCCTTCTAGTTTTAACATCATTATGATAAAATCTCAGTTTATTTTTCTCTTCCTGTTCTTGCAAAAGGTGCTAAGTATCCAAAAACCAGGCTAATAATAGTCGGTAGGACTGGAAAGCCAGTTACGCTGTAAGCTGCAGCGACAGCAAAGTAGGCTGTGTTGACAGGAGTTTAGCAAATATTGTCGGAGTGTATTACTGAATTATTCAGTGTCACCATTATTTTTGTTCCGCTAATTTTCATGGATTTACTGATGGAGGAAGTGGCAGTGTATATACCGTGAGATCAAGAGATCCACTGGATTCTTGAAAACAACGTGTGACTGACACAAATGCAGTGAGCCCTGATTTGCTTGAACAGGCTGATTTGCTGCAGGTAGCTGACAGCAAGGTGGTTACGTGAAAATTGGAAGTGTTGCATCATAAGGAATCAGGGTTTTGTACACATGCGATTGTTTTAAGAAGCAGAACTGGAGAGGTAAAGAGAAAGTTGATGATTGCAGAAGTAAGCAGCGGAAAAAATAATCAACGAAGGAATAAAACTAAAAGAACAAAGTACGTTGCATAAGAGATGCAACTGACAGGAGAAACTAAACTTCACAGACTTGTTATGTACTCAGAAGAAAGAGTAGGGCTTGGGAGGCCTATGCTGTGCTCCTATCTATATATTCTAATTTTCTTCATCTGTGCAATGGGACGGCTGTGCATGCTTGCCAGTTCACCCCCATTAGGAGAGGGTGTGAGTCTGAAGGCTGTTCCTGACCCTTCTGTCTGTGAGCACTCTTCTTCCACCTGGTCTGATTTAACCTAATCCACTCTTGGAAAGGAGTCGGTTTTGACAGAGTGGTCAGATCAACCAGAATAAGGTTTTCTTGTTTCAGAATAAGCCTGGTTTTGCACAGGGTTGTTCAGAAATGGCTGTTCTGAAGTAACAGCTCTGCAGTAACTCCACCACGTGGGCGATCCTTCTAAGAAAGCAATGTGAGACTGCCAGGTGAGTGGTATTACATAAACCCAAGGATATTCTCAAGGCAGCAGGAAAACTTTCCTATATGAAAATGAATTTCTTAATTTTTTTTTGTGTCGGCACCCCCAGTCATACCAGGTAGCAAACAACGACGTCGAGAACGGCTCCAGCGGCACGTAACGCAACCTGTGGTTTGGCTGTTGACGTGCTGCTGCCCGTCCGAGGCTGGAGGAACTGCTGCTGCTGCCTGGTGGCACAGCCCTCGCCATCCTGTTGAGTGAGAAAGACTTCCGCTCGCTTCCGGATCTGTACAAAATTGTGCTCCTCCACTTTCCCACCGCAAACGGTAACGGGCTGTATTTCCTGCAGTCGCCGCATCCCCGGCGCAACGGGGTCCCTCAGGCTGTACCTGCGTCCTCGCGCCTCCGCCAGGGTCAGCGCAGCCCCGCGTCGCCCGTGCTGTCTCCCACCGCCTCCTGTCCCCGTCGCTGCCCCTCAGGGAGGGCCGGTGGGTCCCCCCCACTGCCCTCACACAGCCGAAGTGCTCAGAAAAGCATGTTCTGGCTGCGCTTTTATGTACTTGCTGCGCACCCAGCAGGGACACCACCTCGGGGCCGCACCTACTGAAGAACGTGTGTGCAGCCTCCTTTTTCGTTTTCTCCCTGGGAGGCGGAG